GCCGCCGTCTCCTCCAGATCCGGCGACCATTCCGCCACCGTGACCAGCCCTTCTCACGGCCCCGTTCTCAGCAGTTTCCGGCAAGATTTCACAGCAGCCCGCGGCCGCAGCTCTGCAGTCCTGTTTCTCCGACGAGCTCACGCCCCAGCAGCTCCGCCGCGTCCCAGCCACGCGCCGCCGTCTCCGCCAGCTTCCCTCCACGCGAGCTAACATGACAGCAAACTCGCGACCAGTCACGCTGTCAAGCTGAGCAGAACCACCCTTCTCTCCTCCAGCTCTGTTTTTCCGGCGGCCCGTTCACGCGTACACCAAGCCGCGACCGAACAGCAGCCCGTGACCGACAGTTTCAGCCCCGAACCGACCACCTAACCTCGGGTCTGACCCGAACAGCAGCCCAGCTCCCCAAATCTGCGACTCTCGGCCCAAAAACCGAGCCCATAGCCTAGATCCGAGTACACTCGAGCACAACCGGGTCGTTCCCTAGCCGTTTTAATTTTTCCGACTTCCGATTTGATCCTTTCGAGAGGTATATCGGCTTAAACCTTACTCCATGAGCTTAATTGAGAATTTAGATGAATTTTAAAATTTACGGGAGGCGATTTCGAGCATTATAAGATTTATGGTGAATTTATCGGCTTAAACGGCATTAAATTCCGTAAATATTGGTTACTGCCCGGAAAAATGCAAAACAAGCGTGATAAAATTCGTATAGCTGACTTGAGGCCTAGGTTTTAATTACGTAAATTTTGGTGCTCGTTTAGTATGTTAACTGGATTTTGAATATGTAGCTGAAATGCCCGATTTATGAGAAATATGATAAGACCTCGGAATTCGATGCAACTTTCATGAAAAATCTTATAAATGCCGAATATGTCGTGGTTTAAATTTCATAATTTTTAGAGGCCGTTTGGTATGCCTACAAATTCGAGACTTTAGCTGCTTTGGTGAAAACCTTAGAAATTATCCGGTTGAGACTTAGCTAAAATCACTAGAAATCAAGTTGAATTTAAAGTTTGAGTTTTTTTTTTTTTTTGACTTAAACCGAGATAGATAGCCGGTTGAGTAGAGAACCCTAGTTTGGCCTTTTCCCGGTCA